TTACTTGTTTGTAATACTCACTGTTGTAGTGAATGGTCCAATTACACCAATTAATGTAGTCCAAAGGATGAAGAGGTCAACAACCTTGTTTGAAGCCAAATTTACAGATTACATCGGCGTTTCGGAGATCTCTCTCTTTTTTAGGGTCCATTAATTAATGTTTCCTATTGTCAGGAGCTTGACGTTGTTGTCAAGGGTATCGCCAAGCCAGTAGAATTCAGCGATGATTTTGAGAGGAAGTTGCTTGTTTGAAATACTCAAGGTCGTAGCTGTTGGTCCAATTACTCTAGTATAGTCCAAATGATGGAAAAGTCTACAACCTTCTCTACAGTAAAATTAACAATCTATACCGGTCTCTAGGAGAACTCCCTCTTTTTTGCAGAGTCCATTGTTTCGTATAGTCCGAAGCTTGACGTCGTTGTCAAGTGTGTCACCAAGCCACTTGTATTAACCGATAAGCATGAGATAAAGTTGCTTGTTTTTAAAACTCAATGTCGCAGTTGTTGGTCTAATTCCTTCAATGCTGTCAAGATTATGAAGTTGACAATGACCTTTGAAGCAAAGTTTATAGACCACACCTCTTGGAGGATTACTGCTTCCAAGCAGTGGAGTGGTCATTGTTGCGTATGGTCTGGAGCTTGACGCTATCATGGGTTTCACAGAGCGTGTTCAATTTATCGATAATTTCGAGATGAAGTTGAGTTAGTTTGAGATACTTTTCTGAGTCTTCAAATTTCTTATTTATGAATTCAATTTTGATTTGTATCGGAATTAATTTATTTCTGTATCGCATTGTTATCATTTCACCCCCTGCTGCCGTGTCATGAGCGCAAAATATTCGTTTAAAAATTCCTCTTTAAAAACAACACAAGACAACACTTCTGAAGAATCCAGTGTCTCCAGTGTTACACATGTACAATGAATTTCTAATTTTATTATTATATATTAAAAATTGTTTTTTTTATACTTTTATTTTTTGAAATTATAAAGTCTAAATTTTTCAAAATTATTTAATCTGTCAATTGATGCATACATTGTCTCCGACTTTACGCAAGTGTGAAAAATTTCAGATCGATTGGACAGGTAGAAGTGTGTTGAATATCGATTATAAGTCATGTAGCAGACAATTTTTTTTTTCATTTGTTTTAGAATCATAAAATAAAATTTTTTAAAATTTCAAAATTATTTATTCTGTCAATTGATTCATGCATTGTTCCCAACTTTATACAAGTGTGCAAAATTTCAGATCGATTGAAAAGGTAGAAGTGTGTTAAATATCAATTATAAGATTTGGAGCAGACAGACAGGCAAACAAACTAGGAGTCACCGGTCGAGATTCAAACCCCTGCCAAGACTGCAGTATTCGAAAAAAGTTTCATACCTATACCTACATATATTCAACGCATTTTAACAATTAAATATATTAAAATTATCAGAGTATAGGCTTAATTACGACCATCTACTACCAAAATCCGATGCGTGAACAGCGATTACAATACAGATGAACGAGTCCAAAGACTAACATATAGGAAGAACTTATGCCGAACTCTGACGAAAATAACGTCGTGGCGACGACATGAAAACGACGGTAGAGAGGTCAGTCATCTTTCAAGCATGCATTATCATCTATCAATTTATCAGTAATCAATGAATCGTTTATCAATTAGTCAGTAATCAATTAATCAGTAATCAATCAGTCAGTTATAAATTAATCAGTTATCAATCAATCAATTAGCAATTAACTAGTTGTAAATTAATCAATTATCAATAAATCAGTTAATAATTAATCATTCATTAAGTATTCAGTTATCAATCGATCAGTCTTCAAATAATCAGTTATCAATCAATCAATTAGCAATTAATTAGTTACCAATTAATCAATTATCAGTCAATCTGTTATCAATGAATCAGTTAATAATTAAGAATTCATTAATTATTCAGTTATCAATCAGCCTACAAATAACCAGTATTAAGATTACCAGTTATCAATTAATCAGTTATCAATTAATTAATTATCAAACAATCAGTCATCGAATAACAAGGCACTTATTATTAATCAGTTATCAACTAATCAGTTGTCAATTAATCAGTTATCAATTAATCAGTCATGAAACAATCAGTCAATATTACAGTCCAGTCGCGTTAATTTGTATAATATTTTTATTATACTTATTATCATACGCATTTAATTAACTATTACATTTTTTTGAAATTTTATTAATATATTAACTAAATCTCGGCACTATTCGCCGTCGAAGAGTTCAGGTTCGTGATGGAATGGAATGCGCCCTGTGGAGTTTAAGTTCAATGATTTCTCATTGATGTTTTGGATTTTAATAAAGTTTGGGAAACGTAATTGCCTCGTATTGCAGAGAAAAATTGAATTTCGATTAATATTCCTAATAAACTTTTGGTTCCTACTTCTCGAACAATTACATTGCAGTACATTGAACAATATTGTTGAAATGCTCCTCGATCAGTTCTTGTAGAGAATTTGAGTGCAATTTCTTCTACAGTAATTCAAGTTCTAGAACGCTAATCATTATAGATTTTAAATCACGATGGTAATTATGCGAGATTAGAGAGAGGGCTTAGCGGTCACCTCGGTCAGATATGAGACTTTTTTATTTATATGTGAACTTAGTCAAAGTCGGACAAAATGCGTGACGTTAATTCTGATTTAACTTTATCATTTCACTAATTTCGAAGATGGAAGCTTGCAGCACGTCTAAGCATGCAGCACGTGTAAGCATGCAGCACGTGTAAGCATGCAGCACGTGTAAGCATGCAGCACGTGTAAGCATGCAGCACGTGTAAGCATGCAGCGCGTGTAAGCATGCAGCACGTGTAAGCATGCAGCACGTGTAAGCATGCAGCACGTGTAAGCATGCAGCACATGTAAGCATCGACATTATACATCATGAAGAAGCTCAGGTACGATAATAAAAGAAATATACAATGAGGAATTCAACTTCAAATAATCTCTTCTTTGATGTTTTAAAATGCTGTATAATTAACTTAGGAGTTAGGAGACCGACTAACTCACATTCCAGAGCTAAACGAATATTGATTTAGTGACCTATAACAATCATAACCATTAATCGGGACTGCGCGTCGAACAATAATCAATCCATTAATTTTCGGGTCTGGTTATTGGAAAACTTTCTTGAAACGAATAGAGCAATATTGTAGATTTTAGTGTTGCACTGTTGATGAAACGAACTGAAGTGCAATTGATTTCTTACGATACGAAAGGCCACAAAATTATATTATTTTCTTCACACGAGGGTGCTTCAAAAAGTTCATGGAAAATGGACATAACTAAAAATTCCATGAAAAGAATTTGATGTCAATGCGCCAGAAGGATCCTGTTTCAATGTTATATAGGTTGATTTCCTCAAAAACAAGCAAAATATTACGGCTGTTTATTATGATTCTGAAGAAATTTTGATAAAAATTTCCAAGAGAATCGTTTAAAAACGCCTTAGGAAGCAGCATCAGCGCGCACTCTTCTACCAAGACAACGCACTCGCGCATAGCGCTTGGCAGACAAGGGCTTGCTACGCGAATTTCGATCCGAAATCATTCAGCTTTCACCTTATAGGATCGACATAGCTCCCTCCAACTTTTTTTCATCTTCAAACCTGAAAAAATGATTCAAAGGTACCAAGTTATCCTCAATTGAAGCAAAAAAAAGAGATCCTACAACATGGTTCAAATCGCAGGCTTCTCAATTTCACACAGATGGACTTGGTGGATGGTATCAGCTTTCACAGAAATGTATTTACCTAGACAAAGCATATGTAAGTAAAAAAATATAACTCAGTACTCAATGCAGTGAGTGACAGAGAGCGCATTTTTCTCGTCGACAAAAACATGAGGTCACGGACAAACGGACAGACGGACGGACAGACAGACAGACAGACGGACATTGCGAGCACAATAGTGCATTTTTTCCATAAATGAGAAAATGCGCTAAAAACTTATGATTTTGATCCTTTTTTTATCTGTTATTTTCCACGAACTTTTTGAAACCCGCTCGTACATGTTCGTACAAAAATTGGCTTAGTAGTTATCACAGTCCATTACAAGTCCAATGGGTTGGAGCAAGTCAAATGATTGGAAGTTTAATCAACGGGACATAAGAATCCACGGATGAAAAACGAAAACTCTGACGCCAGGTGCAATGAAATTAAAATTTAAGATTTAATTCACCGCAGTGCAGCAAAACTTCTGAGAGTTGTAAGAGGCCTTGACGCTAAAGTTCAATGATCAGTTGGATTCGGCCGCCAGTGTCAGGAGGTGACCCAAGCAGCGTGGCAAAATTAGAAAACTATTTTTCCGGCGTAGTTAGAAATATATCACGAAGAATTTGTTGCACTGTCGGAAGCATTCCCAAAGCTGAGAAAATCTAAAAAAAATCTTTTGCAACTTGGTCAAATCTGACCGAGACTTGAGCATTAGGATGCCTAATAGTTGGCTTATTTACAGTATACATATAAGCTTGGATCTGACTTTTGTCTTGTTTCTGGAACTGACCTGCTGATTCTGTTCAATAACTGAGAGCTGCTGGCTCCTGTTGTGTAGGTGAAACATGACTGCTGAGTCATGTTCTGTAAGTGAAACAGGGCTGCGGGTCCTTTTCTGTAGGTGAAACATGGCTGCTGAGTCCAGGTTATATTTTTAGATCTGGCCTGCCAACATCTGTTCTCTAGGAGGAGGATTTCAATTGTAGAGACCATCAGTAAGATCGGTAAAATATGACCATGGTTTCGTTTTATAAATAAATATGCTTTAAAAATATGACCATGCTTTATTCTGCACAAGAAATTTGCGCATATCTTTAGGATGAGATTCATTAAGGTGAATATCTCAACCCCAGATATCAAACATTTTGTCTATCATCACTAAAAAGGTAAAATTAAATTTTAATTATTTTTTGGTATCTATTAGCGAATTTTACAATTGGACTTCCCAGTGTTTAAAACGGTACGGGAATGATGGCTTGTCCCTGGGTTGTAGGAGGGCTTTTCCTGGCGCTGTATCTCACACACGCGACAGTGCTGTGCGATCAATCAACATTCGAGGCCAGGAATGCAGGTGAGTGGCGATATTTTGGAATCAGATAGTTTAAGCTGCAGCTTCTCTTAATGAAATTGTTATCAGTTGCCCTAATTGGATTACGCATCATTTAGTGACAGATCATGGCCATTGACGTATGAATTAAGCGTCTTGAGCAGTAAAATTCCGTTCACAACATAACCTTGCTATCCTTAGTGAGATAGGGGCAGTCCGAGACCCAGGCCGCCCTCAGCCCCGGCGGGCAGGTCCTCCATGCGGCATAATAAGAACATGTGCTGTGTTATCTCAATATAGTTTTAATGAGTCACTTGTTGACTAAGACCTGAGATGACAACAGAAAAACTTAGTTGAAGGATGTCTTATACGTTCGAATAATAGAAAAACGCAGTTTAACTATTCTAGATAGATATTCTAATAGATATTATCAGATTCAAAGCCTATTTTTAATCACGAGAGTTAAGCGCTACGAGGGAACACGACTGATAGATGTTTGAATGGAATATAAAAGTATAAAAAGTATAGTTGCATGCATATTTTAAAATTATGAAGAAAATGGCTTAATTAGAACTGCAGAGTGTCGACACTATCAGAGTCAAAGAAGCTAAGAACTTAATTGTCTCGGACAAATTTACGGCCGGACTTGCGGCTGGACTCGCGGCCGGTCTCCCCAAATTCAGTGAACAATAAATATCTCTCAAAGTAATGAACGTAGCTCGATGGAACTTGGTACACGTTTTTATTAGGGACCTTACGGTGATGTTTAGCTCGTAAAAAATTCAAATTTCGGCTTCATTCGTGAGTTATATGACGATACGTGCCGAAATTCGCAGCGAACAAGACATTTCTACCAAAGTACTGAACACATTCGAACGAAACTTTGAATATGCAAATCTAACCCCCCAACGGTGATGTTTAGCTCGTGATAATTTTTTAGATTTTGCCTTTGTTCAAGAGGTTTTTCCCATTTTTCTTTCATTCGTGATTTAAACAGCAATACGTGCTTAAATTCGCAGTGAACAAGAAATTTCTTCTAAAATGCTGATCAGATTTGAACGAAACTTCGTATACAAGTACCTAACCTCCCAACGGTGATGTTTAGCTCGTGATAATTTTTTTATTTTGCCTTCGTTTGCGAGCTATACGGCTTTACGTATACAGCTATTGCTTAATGCAAGTTTAAAAATCTGCCTGATAAATGCCGGTCGTGTCTCCGTATATCCGTATATAATGAAGTAGGCCTATAATGCAAATTTCCACTACTTGCTGTAAGACCACAAAGATTAAGTACATTGGACCGGCTCGTACGTGGGCGTTGAATTGGCTCTAGCTGTCAGTCTTAGTGTCAGATACGATACCGATCCAGACTTTCATACTGGTTCCTTTCTCATAGGATTTCGTCTCGGATGCCATGGTGAGTTACGTGCGATAGTGGTGAAATTTTGAATATGTTTACTTGATGAAATATCGTGAATTGTGTGATTATAACGATTTGTCATTTGTAGGTATTTACTTTTGTTTTCTGTTGTAGGATCGTGCGTTTTTCTCGTACCCCCATGCTCTAGCTCTCTCCTCGCCTTTTGCTCTCCGCGTATTTTAGCTCCCTCTGCCTTCAATTTGTTATTGCGCTTAGTTCATATGTCGCGTCTCTGTAAAACCGTTAGTTTTTATTTGTTTCGTTTTAATTTGCCGTTTATTTCTAATAAATTTGAGTAAGATTGTTTGAGTTATCTGTCCCCTCAGTCCAAGGTTTGCTAATAAATCCAATGGGGAAGTTGCATTTAATTTCCGATCATTGGTGGACATGGCAATTAGACCACCCGAACTTTTTTTGAGGTGGCGCGATTACCTATTTGGGAATTCAAGATTAGTTCGTCACACCGTATAACTCGCGAACGAAGACGCAATGGAAAAAATTTTTACGAGCTATACATCACCGTTGGGTCTGGTTGGGAGGTTAGGTTTTCATGTGCAATGTTTCATTCACAACTGTTCAGTATTTTAGAAGAAATTTCTTGTTCACTGCGAATTTAAGCACGTATTGCTGTTTAAATCGCGAATGACCTTATGATGAGTTTAGGACTTCGTAGTCCAAGGTCAAGCTGATGCTCCGCCTTCGTCATCCTCCGTCTTCAAGTCGTCGCTAGGCCAGTCACCCCGCCCTCGGATCCCGGATGTAACGTTGGACGTGTTCCGTCTATTTGGCCAGCTGATGCAAGATGCTGTTGCTTGTCACTTGCCGAGTATAGTTTCCCATAACTGGGCAATCCGGGATCTTCTACAGAAAGTTATCCAGTTGTCTCTTGATAGTCGCAAGGGTGAACTCCCCTCCTCTCAGCACTTTTGTTTTGGTAAGGCGTTAAACAGCCTTGGTCCTATCACGGACAGTGATCCCTCACAAAGAGTCGTACTCTGGCCGCGGCTCGGTTATTAAATGCGGGAATCCTGCACAGTTTCCCCCTCCTTTCGGTGTAGTGCTTCACAATTTTGTAGGTCTCACATTCAAAGTTGGAAGCCTGTCTGGTTATCATCTTCCAAGTGAACAGTATGATATACCTCTCTCTTCTCTCCTGTGAGTACAGTCCCATGTGTTTAACACTTTGACTCCGATTGCTTCATCTTGTACTATTATTTCATTTTTTGTACCGTTTTAAACAGGGTTGCCAGACGGTCATTTTTTCGGACCGTGATTCAGTTTTTCTCAATTGCGTTGGCGGGCTAAAATTTATGATAGGGGTACTTCCTAATTAAATTATTAAATTTTGAATACTGCAAAAAGAAAATAAATGGAATTTTTCAAGCGGAACCTGCAAATAAATTATGTATATACTGTTATTGAGTTATCAGCCTTTTTTTGCCTTTTTTGTTCTCGGATTTGGCCGATTTTATGCAACCTGAATTATGTTGTGGTACGCATATGTACCACTTCGGAGTCAACGTGTTAAGCCTTTCTCAGTAGTTCAGGTCCGGCTCCCTCATGCCGCAGATCCTGTACGTGAAGGTCCGCTGCACTGCCACCAGTTTCCGCACCGCAGCCGCCTTGAGCGGCACCCAAAGATGACAGCGGTATTTAATATTGGGGAGCACTAGGGCTCTGAATAGTGTAATCATTGACGCTGCTTCTCATGTTCGAAATGTCCGCCAGATCCACCCCTTCCTTTGTCTCCCTCGCGCAACTATTTCCTCGATGTGGTCATCGAACGTGGCTTCAGTACTCAACACTTCGAGATCTCGAACTAGTTGCTTCTCTTCAATTTCTGTGCCATCCGATGCCAAGTTGCGATGTGGCATCCCGGTCTCTGTGCCAACTCTGTATCTCGTTACTTCGAACTTGGTGCCGTTGAATTGCATGTTTTTCACTGGGGCCCAATCATAGATTTTTGACAAGTCGTCCTGTAACCTCTCGCAGGCTAGGTCCTCTTTAATCTTCATCAGCACTCTTGTATCGTCCGCAAATAACGATGTAGATACGTAGGTAAGTTCTGAGTAGATATCGACGATGTGGATGAGGAAGAGGATCGGTTTAAGAACTGGGCCCTGTGGAACTCCGCTTTTCACCCTCGCTTCTCTCCATTTCGAGTTTCCAATTGCGACAGCTTGTACTCTATCTATAAGGAAGTAGTGGATCCACACTAACAGGCTTCCTCCTACCACCAACAGCCTCAGCTTTCTAAAGAGCACCCCATGGTTAACTTTAAAAGCTTTAGCAAAGTCTAGGTAAACTACGTCTACGCCAGCTCCCTCCTCTAGCTAAACCACCCGGCAGTGATGGTGCTCCAGTAACTGTGACAAACCGGAACGATTACACCGGAAACCAGGCTGTCCATTATTATACAGGTCAGCCTCTTCCATATACTGGACAAGCCTCCTGGCCACTACCTTCTCTAAATCCTTGATCACCTGTGAGGTCAAGGTCACCTGTCTGTAATTTTGAAGTCTGTCCCTCGCGCCGCCTTTTGTGGATTGTCGTTATCAGTCCCACTTTTAGGCCCTCAAAAATAATTCCCTCCATCATCGAGGCTTTCCAGAGCATTGTCAGGTGGGCCTTAAGAGTTCCAACACACTTCTTCAACACTGCCGAAATTTCATCCGGTCCTGGTGCTGAAAACGTCGCCAATTCTTTGATACTTATTTTCATATCTTGTGGCCCAAACTCAATGTTCTCCAACCCCCTTCCACCAGGCAGCTCCTGGAGAACTTCGAATGAGGGTGAGATGGAAAAAAACTCGCGAACGGAGGTAAAATCTAAAATATAGCCGCGAGCTAAATATCACCGTTGGGAGGTTAGGTTTCTATATTCAAAGTTTCGTTCAAATCTGTACAGTAGTTTAGAAGAAATGTCTTGTTCGCTGCGAATTTCAGCATGTATCGTCATATAACTCACAAATGGAGGTGAAATTTCAAAAAAAATTCACGAGCTAAACATCACCGTTAGGTCCTAATAAATATGTGTACCAAGTTTCATAGCGCTACGTTTATTACTTTAGGAGATATTCCTTGTTCACTGAATTTGGAGATTTGCCGCGTGACCGGCCGCAAGTTCTGCCGTAAACTTGTCCGGGACGTGCTAAGAACCAATAGGGGTTGGCTTAAATAAACCCAGCCGATATGGTCTAAATAAAGATATGATTATCTTACCCTGGATTATAAGGTGCTTGAAATCAATGATTAGAGCGATATCCGTGCCGCAGTTTTGGTTCGTTTTGAAAATATTCGTTGAAGTGAAGAAAAAGTTGCTCTTTAAAACAGTCTTTCTTTTATTTTAATAAGTAAACGATGTTTGTATTCAAAAATACTTGAAGTCACGTTACAATAATATTGTAGGAAGAGACCAGCGCTACTCGGGGTCTATACTGCTGAGCACATCGGTCTTCAGCCGGTCTGCGTGCCTGAGCCTGTGTGGCAACAACCCGCGCTGCGACGGCTTCAGCTACGCAGGTGACGTATATTGGGTGACGTCACGCGCTGCCTCGGCTTCAGCTACGCAGGTGACGTATATTGGGTGACGTCACGCGCTGCCTCGGCTTCAGCTACGCAGGTGACGTATATTGAGTGACGTCATGTGCTGCGTCGGCTTTACATACGCAGATAACATGCAGTCTGTTTCAAATACTTTTGAAATCACTAAGCAAATCACGATAGATCTCAAGTTACCAAATTATTCTAATCACTGAAACCATTGTGTTTTTCTTCCATAAATGCTATACAATCTGTCTAGGGAGTGGGTGGTCGTGTGCGTACAAACTGCTAGGTGGGCAACCCTGTATTTAATTATAGTGTGGGACCTGTTATTGCTGCATGTTATTGCTGATTCTGGATGCTGTTCTGACCGTAGCCTGCATGCGTTTTTGTTACGGACGGATGGTATGAGTTTACGTGTTGGAGTTGATTTGGTGTATTTGCCTAAATGTGAGTCAATTTCATTCAGTTTTGGGTCAGTTGTTTATTTGTTAGGGACCAAGTTTGCTTCATGGAAGGATGTGACATAGGACGAATATGTATTTGCGTTTGAAGCTTGCAATTACGGGAATCCGGCTATTATATGGCCAATGGCGTACATGAAGTTGTAATACTTTTATTAAAAACCGGGGGATCATTGTGATGGGAGATATTTGAATAATTGCTTTTCTTTTTATTTATTAGTGTTTGATGTAGTTTCTATCCATGTTCACGAAAATGTCGTGAGGAACGAAGTTCATTAATGGCCTGTGCAGTTCAAATCAGAAGTGGTTGAATATTCTGCAAACGTTTACGTCCTTCACAGAAAGCTTCAATCCGTAGTCGTGCTTTCTCGGTTTGTCGAGGAACTGAATTGACGAGGGGTGAGAAAGATATGGTTGGCGCCCTTAGAAGCTCCTCAATGGTTTGATGGAGATTGGTTCGTTGAATCCAAGTACAAATAAAACTATTCTCCATATTGTCAGGTCGGTGATTTTTTTCTTGGGTCACGGTCATGATACTGAGTTTAAGCTATGTGGTGGGAGGGTTATTACAGGCTATGGGCCTATTTCTTCAACGCCGGCACTTCTATTCTATTCTATTCTTGATGTTTTTGACGGTGGTCTTTACTTTAATTAAGAGGCTGGAGTAATTTTTGTTTAGTTTCGGCTCTGGTATCTTCGTTAATAATGGAAAATTAGAAAACTTTGCGTGAGTCACGGTCGATTGAAGGTAGCGTCGAAGACGTTTCTCAGTGATTTGAAGCTTTTGAGGTCACCCAAGGCCGTTTGAAATAGTGCAGCTTTGTCAGTAAGGTTACTTAAAGGAAGGGGGATGATTTGATGTATTTAAAGGTAATCAAGGTGGCGCAGGATTGTTGTTGCCTCTTACCCTGTGAGAGGTCCGTGCTAGATGCCAGCAAGTCTCAACTTCACCCTTTAGTTATAATTTATATCCAAGCTCGTGTCATGGTATCTATTTAATGCCACTCTGATTATACATCTCTTTTACGATCCACCTGAGAACAAAGATTCGACGAATAACGTGCGAGATAAATAAACGCATTCATCTCCAGCTTTATATTAATGGTAGCCAACGAAGTCATTACAGAGGTACAAAAAAAATGGCTACACCTTCGGCCATCGCATAACGGAATACCACTACGCTCAGTACTGCATACCTGCGATCGTTCAAGCTGACTACTTAGGGTGGCCTACTAAAGTGTCCCATTCCTGTTATAAACGCGGTGCTTCCATCCCTGGTCTCGAGTCTCATCCACCCCGGTTTTCACAGAACCGTCTCCGTAACTTGACAATTTTGATACTTAATCAGTAACCCACATTCAACCAACCTTCTCTGCGTTTAATGTTTCAATTTAATTCTCTCCAATATCAGTAGAAGAACACGCCTAGCAGTCGAGCACGTTAGAGGACATAGTAGCCTATGAAGTTGAGTGTTCAAATCAATAACATCGTTAAGCCACAGCCACTGCTAGAGTCTGTCTCGTTGTCATGGACGTTTAAGCCCAGCATGGCTCCACACAAATAAACCTAACCTCATTCTCTGCAGTCTACAGCAGAGGTCACCAAACTTTTTTCACAGTGGGCCCGATAACTGAAAGAATGACGAGCGCGGGCCGCATAATCATTCTGTTCAATACTTGCAAGCCAGAACGAAAACTCTGGGGAAAAAAGATGAAAAACTAAGTTTAACATTCCATGTTAATCAAAGAACAAAGAGAACCAACATTTTATTTGCTAAAAGTTTTCCAAAGAAGGCGACGTAAGCAAAAAGATAGTTACATCAGACCTAGTGTGCACATATCCGAATCTCACAAACTAAACCGCAAAAATGGTTAGCGAGATTTGTGAAACTGACGATCGGCTTTCAAGATATCGTCAATGTTTGGTTTGGAATTGCTGCATCCAATCAAGAGAATTGCTTTCAAATGTTCATCAGTCAATCTCGTTCGACGTGTTGACTTCTCATACTTCATTTTTAAAAATGTCTGCTCACAGACATAAGTTGTTCTAAACACTGATGCCATACCAGCGGCAAATTTTCAATTTCGGAAACTCGGGATCAGGTAAGCAGCGGTAAAATTCGACAAGTTTTCCTTCTCTGTGCTTCTCTTTCAACAAGTCATTTGCTTGCTAATCAATGAACTCCAACTGTAGTTCAACTGGCACATCATCAAGGTTACAATCACACGGATTCTGGAACAGAAGAATGTCACTCTCAGTTCAGTCGAGAACTGAAAATCTCTCCAAAAAATGCTTCTTCAAGTCACAATAATCTTTTTGGAAAATCGAGGTTGACATCTTCAGTGATTGAAGCGCAAAACTCTCTGAAACAGTGAAAACCATGGTGACGTCAGAGCGTAGGTGGAGTTACCGTAAGCCGGGGAAGGACTTGGGATGGCGCGAAATAAACAAATATTACAATAAACAAGAATACCTAGATACAATAATTGAAAATAGTAAATTTAAGGTACATAGCGGTCAGCAGGTCTCCGCACGTGCGAAGATTTCCTAGTATTATAATTATAAACTTTAAATTGTATCACAACATCTCGTGTTCCAACCGTTTTATCAAGCAAATTAGTTAAAGTACCGTCGACGGGCCTGATGAACTGACGTCGCGAGCCGGATTCGGCCTGCGGGCCGTAGTTCGGTGACCCCAGTCTACAGCAAGGTAGATTGTCGGAGTTTGGAGGGAGGAACATGCCTGGTTACCAAGTCATGAAGTCATGGAGACAAGACTAGCATGAGCAGTGGGATGGGCTGACGGTGTTACTAGCACGGTTTGCTGCTTTGCAGCTCTGAGACTGAGTGTAGCTGTGCAGTGTGCATGCTTAGATTAAGCGTTAAATCCAGAGCTAGTTTAATTAAGAGTTGAATTCTTGGTATGCGGCTGCGTCTCTCCACCCACTGACACAATTCCGGAATTAGATGGAGACAAGGTATCAGATAGAAATGTGCAGTTAGATATACATTTGAATTGAAATAAACCGAGGAACATAATAAATTAGGCCACTAGTTCCCATCGACAAGCAGAGACATTTATGTTACGATAAATCCTGCCAGCTTGGGAAAAAGAGCAATATACTCGCACTCCAAGAACAGAACCTTTCATATCGCATGTCGCAAAAGCTTAGGGAGTTGGAGATTACACAGTAATTCCTTAAAATAACTTTTAATTGCGCTGTGGTAATAATTAAAGCTCTACATGCCAAAACTAATTGTTTCTAATTTGCAGGAGGTTCGTGCCAGCTGATGAGCTGCGTGACGGGCCTGGTGGCGGCGGCAGGTTGGATCTCCTACGAAATGACTTTTCCTCTTCGCCATTACACGGTGAGAGGGAAGTCTCCTCAGACTTCATTCTCTATCATTTTGGTAGCTTAAATTACAACAGGCATCATTCAGAATGTCAACATCAATAGATGATCGAAGAAAATAGTTTTTAGCGCATTTTCTCATTTCTGAAAAAATGCACTATTGTGCTCGCCATGTCCGTCTGTCCGTCCGTCCTTCTGTCCGTCCGTGACTTCACGTTTTCGTCGACGAGAAAATGCGCTCTCTGACACTCACTGCAGTGAGTACTGAGTTATTATATTTTTTAGATTATATCAGTTCAGTATTTATTGCTAGTATTTAATACCAATGTTCACCAACATCGTTCTTATCAGGTATTAACCATCAAAAATTGATTCCTCTCTGGAAACTATGTTGCTCTGAAAAAACACAATGAAATAGGTAGGAGACAGGCTGACAGGTAAAAAAGTATGATCTGTCTATTTGTTGATTCCTGGCGATTATTATAACTTACCTAGACGTCAACTCTGTACTTGTATAAAAGCATGCGTCTCGAGAAGCAGCGTCTCAGTTTCCAAAAGAAATAATTTTTTGCATCCAAAGGACGATACACAGAAGATCATAAAACAGAGAAGTACGCCATGCTCATTCTTGATGCCAGGGAACTGTGATACCAGTTAACGCCCTTGTCAATACCAGGTTGTATAACTTGTGAGGAGCATGATTTTTTGCTGCAGCGATTGTCAAGCGTTCAATCCCTAAAATATTATTCGCCTGAAGCCCCAAGGTGCCTGCGTGACCTGCCCCTGTTCCGGAGCAAAAGAGTGCGTGAGCTACTCAACCCTCGCACCCATGCCGTACACCTACCAGGCCGCCTACGCCGCACTGCCAGGCTACATCTGCACCGCGGCTCAGCCTTTCATTGACCAGCGCAAACAGAACAAAAGTATGTCGACGGAGAATGGCTCCGTTAGTCAAAAGGATTTCTTTTTGGAATTCTATGCTAATTTTAAAATTCTTTCAGTGTTAGTTGAATTTAACTTCATTTTTAGTGTCGATATATTATTAATTTAACGCTAGTAAAGTGAGACGCGAGAAAGAAAAATGATCAAGCCCGCATAGACAAATACTCATTCATTTGCGACTTAGTGGCCAGCCAATGATACATTTTCGTATCGTGAACTGGAATTTATTGTGAAACAGTCTGAAGAGTCCTCAATTGTAGGCTTTTTGGGAAACGGTTACCGATCTCAAATAAACGCCTACTGCACTCGCCATCCATCAATGACCGACACTAAGTAGAATCAGTGTATTCTCAACCAACACCTACACACTTTGGCCGACGTTTATACATCTCAAGCGATATCTACACAACACTGGCGACATCTTCTCTTCTCAAGCGACACTTACCCGCCTCAGGCAAATCCAACACAGCTCAGACGATTCCTGCACAACGCAGGCGATACCAACACAACACAGGAGAACCTATACAGCTGAGGCGACTCCTACCCTATGTTCGTAGATCAAATTTTGACCACACTCGTCCATGGCCATTCTCATGCGCCTCCTTCGTCGTCCGCCATCTTCAAGCCATCGATAGGCAGGTCGCTCTCCATAGGGGCTCCGAGGGTGGCATTGAACGTGACAACCGTGCATCTGCCATCAGTTCGCTTGCTGATGCAAGGTGCTGCTGCTTGCCTCTTGTTCATAGCAGCGAGCAGAGACAAACGGTATGGCCGTATGGGATCCTGCTAAAAACTCAACCGGTCGTCTCTTGAAGGTCTCGGGCTGCAGTCCCCTCCCTGCTTTTAGCTCAATCGGCAAATCATTGCACAGCGTCTTTCCCGCCTCAAAATTAAGTCCGCGCAGAGTCTACTAAACTCTGGCCGCGGAACGGTTGTAATCGGGGTGTATCCTGCCTGCACAGTCCTCCTTTTCTCAATAAGTACATAAATCAGCGACAGACAACGGGCCTATTTTTTCAGCGCTGACCCAACAATATTATACTATTAATAGTAATTTGAAGTATACACAAGTGATACTTTCAATAATGCTCCTCAAAGTAGGTAATTACGATTAATGGCACTAATATTAAATTTACTACTAGGAACGGTTATTTAATTATGAGAACGAGTTTGCTTACGCCTGGGTGTAAGTTCATGATTCACTGGGATGTTTAAACTCATAACCCATCAAGAGTCACTGGAATGTTTAAACTCATAACCCATCAGTAGACTCATTCCTCATCTGTGTTTGCTTTCGCCAGGCTGCAAGTTCGTGAGTCACTGGAACGTGGAGGTGACTGATGCCTGCATCTCCGTCGCATCTTCCCTCTCCGAGACCTTCACTGCCTGCTCAGCCTATGACTGCTTGTCGTTGCTTGCTGTGTTTGGTTGTAAGTTTATAAAATCAGACGTGACTTTAACCTTTATTCACTTCACTGCCTGCTCAGCCTACGACTGCTTGTCTTTGCTTGCTGTGTTTGGTTGTAAATTTATAAAATCAGACGTGACTTTAACCTTTATTCACTTCACTGCCTGCTCAGCCTATGACTGTTTGTCGTTGCTTGCTGTGTTTGGTTGTAGGTTTATAAAATCAGACGTAACTTTAACCTCTATTCACTTCACTGCCTGCTCAGCCTACGACAGTTTGTCGTTGCTTGCTGTGTTTGGTTGTAAGTTTATAAAATCAGACGTGACTTTAACCTCTATTCTGGCAATTTCATTTACTCCTTAAATTTTTTGCCAACATGCCTGAAACATAAATTGAAAAAGTTTTGCCGCATAATAATATTGAATATATCTGTTAAAGAATTGAATTAGCTGAAAATAGACGAGAGTATCAATCATATTGCAAGAGCATAAACATAACTGTGACCTAAGTGAAAATGAAAGCCAAAGGAAATTAATTATGTTGACCAAAACGCTATGTAAAGGATCCTTCGGCAAAACTTAGTGTGATGGATAAAAATATGATTTAAAGGCAGGCCATGAGCCTCGTGTGCACTTTTAAAGTTGTGAGTAATTATCTTAACGTCTGGTGATCCATTGCAGATGCGTTTGGTGAATATAAAATCTGTGGTGTTCACATAGCATTTCTGTTCTGTTGCAGCGAATGATGTATATGGGTACCTTTCCCCGACCTTGGCCCCTCTGGTGGGGAGCGCGACCACACCCAGTCAGAACTCCACATGGATAAAGGTCAGCTGGTTCCCAGAGTGCGCCTGAAATCTCAATACTGCTTCTGTACCTGGACCATGCATGCTTGGGACCTGCGAGTGGTACCACGAGCGGACTTGGACAATGCATGCAACTTGGGACCTGCGAGTGGTACCACGAGCGGACTTGGACCATACACGTAACTTNGGTGCCCTGCAAGCAAAGATGACATGTTTAATATGATTATGGAAACATGTCCTCTTCTCGTGCTTGTGGTGCCCTGCAAGCAAAGAGGACATGTTTAATATGATTATAGAAACATGTCCTCTTCTCGTGTTTGTGATGCCCTGCAAGCAAAGCGGACATGTTTAATATGATTATAGAAACATGTCCTCTTCTCGTGTTTGTGATGCCCTGCAAGCAAAGATGACATGTTTAATATGAATATAGAAACATGTCCTCTTCTGATTATGGTGCCTCATGTGTACATGAGCCGTACAATTTCGGCACTTGGCTCGTTAAGTTACTTATAGTTATTTCATATTTATTCGCGATTTAATAAATTTATGTTGTTAACAAGTAGGACACAGATCAAACATCGGCACGTTGAATGTCATGCCGTCTTAACTGAGCACGTCAAGCGGGCGCTCCAGGAACTGCTCTATGCTGGGTGCCTCGCATAAATAATTAACAATACTTACGTTACGAGAATATAATACATGCAGATAATATAATAATAAACCTGTTGTGAGCTCAATATTGCAAGATTAATTTCGGCTTTTGATTCCAGTTTGTCAATGAATATGCCCGCCAGCAATGAATTCCTCTGACATTGTTTCTGTCTCAATTTTGCTGTCCATCGACTTCGAGTAGAAGCAAGGCGGCATAATGGATTTTGAAATATGTTTATACTAATTTGTTCAGAGAGTAGATGAGAAAAATCAGAACTCGGCGAAATAATCGCCTTGATTAGCAGGAGACAAGAGCGAATTATGACCTGCATTCTTTCTTCAAATTGATATTAATTCATTGTTAAACAATTAGTTGAATATGTACAAAAATTTTAGCCTTATGCTCATAACTGATACCAAAAATTGTGGTTATCCAGCTAATACTAATCTTTCCTTTAATGAGATTATGGACTCATCGCAACGAAATAAATAATTAAATTATTAGTGTAATTGTGAAAATTTTTCATTCATGAAGTCTCTCAATTTAATAGAAACACAATACACTACACAACACTGACCATTTACAGCACTGAAATAATTACAAGTTTGCCTACCCCGTCATTTACTTCTGAAGCTCACTTGTTGAAGTAGCCCCGGATTTTCCTCCAAGACTTTATATATAGTTTGGCGTCTCGCGTCGGCATCATCAGAACCCAACGTCAAGCCGCGGGATAATCATCACAGTGTGTTCAGGGCCTATACTTTCAAAAAAAGTTAAGAGATCGTAAGTTCATCCGCCAATCATTGACGGCGTTTCATAGACAAGAAAATAGAGCGTATAAGTACTTACGTTCACTTAGCGAGTTTTGCAAGTATGGCCCCTGATCACTATGTGTTACCTCACCTTTGACGTGCTTGAATTTTATCGAGAATTACTATAGCTTGTGAATAAATTGACCTAATTACACAAGGAGTATATGTAAACATTAGCTGGATAGACTACCTTAAATTACAGCCAGTAACTGATTATCTCTGCTGGTTTTTTTCTGACTGCTGTCAAAGAACTTTTTGCACTTGAATAATGTTGTGCCCACGCTTCTTCCGGATAGATAATTTAAACTTTAGGATCTGTAAATCCTAGAACCTATTTTATTACTAGCCTGTCTATCAACCAAGATTTCAAAATTAATAATTTGTTGAGCAGAACTCCGTCCAATGTGTGGCGAGATTATATATTGCCGAAAGTGAATTTTTGGATATAATTCTTTTACGCTTTTACCTTTGTAGGATAAGAAGCCCAATTTTGTCCACCAGGTGGAGGAGGGGGGATTTGTGTGAGGTCTTGAATGCTGGTGCCAGTCTTTGACTTCAGACTATGAACATGGTTCAGCATCTACCCCCATCGTTTGCCGTTATTAGCTAGTTATATGGGTTGTCGACTCTTCGCCTGTCACTGGTCAACTTTATTCCTTGTCCTTGGGATTTCAATGCCGGGTGGATTAAAGAAGTACTTTATGTCAGAATTATACCTGAATCCTTCATTAATTATTATTTCTTGTGACACTTCCTTGGATCAATGTATGATTAGTCATGCTGGAACAGATGTATTCAATTAGATATATACATAATGTACTCTTATGGTGCTACAGTGGAAAGTAGCCCTCCTAGCAGGGGAAGCAGAGTTGTGACAGGCTGCTAAGTTTAATTATTAATGTGTTACACACTTTCCCGCACCAGTGTGATTTTATGTCACTTATAATCTTCAATATCATATTCTTATCTCAATTCTCTCTGTTTCTCCATTGTTCACTTTTTCAAAATAGGCCCTGTTTCAATCACTCATGAACACAAAACACTCATGAACATAAAATTTCTGCTAGCTCCTCATCGATAAAACTTTTTTAAAATTCTGCTTATTTTTAAGAGGTTTGGCATTCTTCACAGTAACCATCGAGAACAGTAACAACAAAGAGATAATAAAAATATATATATTTGAGATTTCCAAGCTGTTATATTCCATGCTATTGCTTGTCATATTGATAATCATGTTGCACAAGCATTCAAAACTATGTGCGTTATTAACTTATTTTATGTGCCTATACATGCAGTAATTTGGCACGTCTTCATGTGGTGCCCCTGCAACACATTTCCCACGTTTAGTTTCGTGAAGAAATATTTTCGTGTACCTGTATTTTTCGACGTTCCACGATATTCAAATAATGTTATTCATCCCCGAATTCTTTTCTCCCGGCAAAACAGTGGCTTTTTCAAATTTCATAAACCTTATACACCATTTTTTTGTATTTCATTACACTGACTATGAAAGCAAATTGCAAATTGTTTTATTATCCCCTAGTTCTGTAATTATGTCAACGCTGCCCACTCACCTAAAAGTTCCACAGTAAATGATTGAATTTGAAGCCATAAAATTTAAAATTATTTATCCTGTACGCTACTTAAATGAAATACGTTGTCTTACACTTATATATTTGATTTGGAAATTATACCTGGCATGAAATATAAGCACATGTCTAAAAAATTTTTGGCATTCAAACAATTCTTCACTTATACAACCATCTTTGTGTGCAATTCCATAAACCAAGCAGTTGGACTTTTCTGAATTAATTCAACCCAAGAGCGCTCGAGATGAGATTTCGGCCCCGGACCACTTATGTTCATTCTATACTTGACCTAACTGCACACACTCAAGCAAATACTCGTGAAAATTGGACAGAAAATAACAGAATAATTGTTCGAGGCATCTAATACAAGTATTGAATGTTCAAAGTATTATATTTAAACTTATGTATTGTACGTTGGGAAAATCTTACCACTATCCGTTTTAATGATTTCAAATCAGCCCTCCTGGGCCTGGAGTGGACCAGATATCTCCTGGCCACCAGTTCTCCAGAACTAACTCAACATTAAAGTTTCTACGTTGAAGAACAGTCACGTGTCCAGAGTGGAAAAGATTAACGCTAGTGCATAAGTTAAGCTGTCCTTAAGACGATCAATATTATGAACATTAATGATGAATAACAAGGAAACAATGTCTGCGTTCTCTCATTAATTATTTACAATAATTGAGAAATTTCTGTCTTTAATTATAATTTATGCTCAATCCAATTACGGCAAATGATATAATTTTTTTAACTGTAATTGTTAAGAGACACGAACATTACACATTGAAAATATCGGACGTATTGCAAAATTTAAAATTTCCCATCCTGAACGTAGTTCAAAGGAGCTCAGGCTCGATATTGTACGAAATGTGCACTAAAGAATTAACTTTAAATCATTTTCTCTTCGATATTTTCTAATGCTTGATATCAAACTTAGAGAAACATAATTAACTCGCGTTGCAAAACCAAAATTAGGTGTGTGTGTTTGAACTTGCTCTCAAAATTACCTCCTGCATGAACGTGACGAACATGAGGTAAAGTTTAAACAATAAACTTTTGGCCTAAAATTTTAAGAACTTTCTTTGAGACAATAGGATAACTTTGTTAGAAAGAAAAAGTTCCACTGTTAGTGAAACGAATTGGAACGAAGTTAGCTTTTTTATAAAAGCACTGTTGCCTGCGATATCATTCTATTCATATCAGGCAAAGTTGTGCGAAAATTATCCTGGTAATCATAAATGATTACAAAGATTATGATGATCTCCGGTATCACAGTCAATTATTCTAATTGGCAGAACTACAGTAGTGGACTTCAGTATACACAGTACAGGCATGTTGCGAGTCACTGGAACTGAATGGCAATACAAATGGACTGCAATAAACTTAATATTAGTATTAGATAGCAGAACATTCGGCCCGTATTGCCAGAGCGATGTAGCGTGCGGGCAAGTCTTATGAAGAAAGATTGAAGATTATGAAGCTTCCCAGTCTCCGTTATCGTCGCCTGCGTGGTGACCTCATTGAACTATACAAGTATACTCATGGTTTGTACAAGGTCCCAAAAGGATTACTAGAATTTGAAACAAGAACCATCACCAGGGGCCACAGCTATAAACTAAAAAAACTGCGGTTCAACTTATCCACGCGACAACATTTCTTCTCGCTTCGAGTCACTGACATGTGGAACAGCCTCCCTGAAGATATTGTTGACGCTCCGAGTATGAACGCGTTCAAGAACAGACTAGACAACGCCATGCATGAGCATATGTTCAGTCTTAAAATGCCTCGTACCCTACGGAACAACTGATATCTAGAAGCGATTTTAAATCTACCGTCCGTAAGGCCAGTCTAGTCAAGAAAAGTACAAGAATCGGCGACAGGCCAATCCAGGCCTATTTATTTAATGCCGAAGATACTATACTATACTACTATACTATACTACTAACATGCTTTTTTACTCACGTGCGCTAAATGACCAGAGAATTCATAGATTTAAATTTTCAGGTAGCCGAGCAATTCTGCAGACGAAGTTGGTAGATCGAAAGGCAGGTTTAAAGAAGTGGTTTTAAATTATTAGCGACGTTGCGAAAGCAACAGCATTCATTATCAAATTATAGGAAG